CAAAAATATGTGAAAGTTCGCCAACGAAAATAATTAGTCGTAACTATATATAGTCTATATATTTTTTGTTTGTTATATTGTGTTTTACTTGCTCTTCCCGCCGGGTATAATAGAGGACCAGGTTGCTGTATGATACGCATCTATAACAGAACTTGCATGCTATACAGACAAACGTTTCCACGGTTACGAAATAGAGGGCGTACTTACCGCAATGCGCCAGTGACGCGTTCACGAACGAAACAAAGAAATTCTTTTTCATTTAAAAAAAAAAAAAAAGGAAAAAAGAAAAAAGAGGAAAAAAGAGATAAAAAATATTTAACAAATAATTTTCACTATTTGCATTTTATCATTAATTTTTATGTTTATCACGCTAGTCAGTCGAATCTAGATATATACCGTAAATTTATTCTATTTCGATAGACATGTCAAGCGTAACTGTCCAGAATTTTGTGCGAAGAAAACCAAACAGAATGAAAAGAAGGAGAAGAGAAAAAAGAATCAATCGATTGGGCTACTCGGATTAGAATTTGAATTCAAAGTTTCGTTTGCCGACTGATTGAATTTAATCAATTAAATTATCCAGGTCACCAGCCATTTTTATTTTTTCTTCTAACCTTAAGATTTAAAACGGTAAATGGTGATACACGATCGTGATAAACGTATACACGAAATCAAAACAGTGAAGAAATTAAAGATGAAAAGAGATTTGATTCATCAATTTTGATTATTGAATCCTTCGTTTTTTATTATAATTCTATTTTCAATAGATTAAATTAAGTTCTTCTCAATTATCGTAATATTTAAGATTTTGAGGTTAGAAAAAGAAATTTTCTAATTAAAATATATATATATTATGTGTTTTATTGAAAGGTAAGAAAATAATATATAATTGATTGTAACATTATTGTTTCAAAATAAAATTTCATTCAATAGAAATCGACTAAAATATTCGTAATATTTTTTTGCATCGATAGTTATAGAAAGAATAAATGCAAGTTTCTCAAACAATTTTTCAAGACAGTATAAATGCTGTTGGTCAATAAGAGGAAGGACGCGTTTCTTACATGAATAGGATGATGGTTAAGATTTTATTCATTTCACACATTGTCGCGATATTTCTCGAGATTCTTTTTTCCGTTTCTCATTAAAACTTGCTTTAAAGCGCTTGCTTAAAATGGCATAGGCATAGTCTTTTAATTAAAAAAATATTTATATTTCCGTATATTCCCATGTATATTCCATTACGTCCCTCATTATTATATGATTTATTATTATTATAATACCTTACATTAATTATATATATAATTTTAATTATAAAATTAAAAAATTGAAATATCTACGATGATATTTTTATTTGAAAAAAAAAAAAAAGATTTATTCTTTCTCAATTTTAATTATAAATTATCTATTACTATTTAAATTTTAGATTTTTTTTTTAAAAAAGAAAAAGAAGAATAATATCTTGGATCAAATTTTTTTCATTATCTTCGTACCTTTGACGCGTCACTAAGAAGCGTGAATAATTATAAACATCTATGTTCCACACGAAGGGAATAAAGACAGCTTAATGCGTCAAGTTGCGAGCATATTATTAGAGAATTAATTAATCGATTGACGAGTTATTTTTATCTTTTTTTCGGTGTCCTAGTTATCATCGCCCCGATTATTAATCTTCTTCGCGTCGAAAGTAATCTTCCTCTATTACCCTCTCCTTTCCTTTCAGAAAAAGATCACAAAAGTGAATGTTCAAGAAAGGAAGAGAGTGATAGCGCGATGAATAGTGAAGTGGTGGTAGACCCTGTGAAAACACCATCATTAACCGTTTCGAAGGAAACCTTTCACGCGTACATAACCTCTAAAGCGGAAGTATGTTTGTTCGAGGAAATTGCAAAACGATTTTAAATTTTTAAAACAATTTTTTTCTCCTTCACATACCCGCGCATACGCGCAAACATTATTCTTGTTGACGTAATTTTAAAAATCATCTCGTCTTATTGACGCACGAGAGAGTGAAAAAAACTTATGCAAACTCGAACGTGTTAATAATTTCCTTTATTAAAATATAAATAATGTTTTCCTTTCTCGATCTAATATTAGAATAAAAAATTTGACTTGCTTCTCTCCTATCCACATTTTTCTCTTCATCTTCGCGCGAAATAAAAATGTCAATTCGCAGGAGTATTTCCTTCCTTTATCGTTTATGGTTAATCGCCGAATCGATTGTGTGTCAAAAATGAGAGGAAAATTAAAAAAAAAAAAAGAACGAAGCTATCGAAAAAATTTATAAAAATCATCGACTCGATATATTTACAAAATTAAAATTATAATTAAAAAAATATGTGACACTTTCAGATACCTCGATGGAGAGTTCCGGTGGCGAAAAGCAGAACGAATCGGACGAGTGCGATGTGACTGCCAATAATCAGCACCATAAGAATAAAATGACGGGTCAGGACGAGGACAGTAACGTGAGAATAAGTAAGGATTTAGGGGAGCAGGAGGCGTTGAAGAATTTGAAGAACTTAGAGAATATCAGTCAAAATGACGAGGCTTCGAATAAATTATCAAAGGCTGTGCCCCATGAGGACGAGGATGACGAGGACGAGTGTAAAGGGTCCGACGAGGACGAGCTCAAAGAGGAGAAAACGGATGGGAAAAAGGACGAGGACACGTCGAGCAGCACAACGTCAACGAGCACCTCTGATGACGAGTCCGAGACCAGCTCGGACGATAAGACGGAGGCTTCGAAGACCGAGCATACGAAGACGGTCGCATCCGAGGCGAAAAAAGAGGATCAAACGTCGAAAAATGACGACACAACGGACGACAGTGACATCGAGGACGATTTAATTTCGGCTATCAATTATAACACCATCACCTCGTTGGCCGCCCTCAAGGATATGCTGCAATCCTCTGGCGAGGATTCGGACGGCGTGGACAGTTTCTTTCATCATTACTTCCTCTCTCACGTGAATAGGTTACCGTCGAGAAATCAGACGCATAGCCCCTATCCCTGGGGCAGAAGATTGTCCGAATGCAAGGAAGAGGACGAATACGAGAACGAGGATGGTAAGAAAGATTTCTTATAATTTTAATGCGGCTTTTTTTTATAATAAGTAACTAAAAAATAGCAGTATATGAAAGTTGAAAGTGAAAAGTACAAGAGGAAAGAAAAAGTAGTATTCTAGATTAAATTCCATTAATTCTTCCATTTTGCTTTATGCTAATGTATCGACGGACATATTACTGTACTCTATTGTAAGAAAAAACGTTAATTACTATCCTGGTATAACTATTATACTAGTTTTATAAATATATTAGATGTTTGATAATAATTTAATAATTAAGTAATATTATATATTCAAATTGAATCATTAATTATCTGCTATCAAGCAAAGTTATTAAGTTCTTGTTAATTATTAGAGACGAGATATAAGAAATATCGTTTTTTAGATTAAGTTTTAAGAATAATATTAGAATTAAGAAAGGAAAATTATCGAGCATCTTATAAATAAGAATATCCCGGAACGGATAAAAAATCTTTGTAGTATTTAATAAATTAATAAATTAATATTTATTGATATAGAAGCATAATTGCACTTTCATCGCGCAATTTCATCAAATGAAAATAAATTATACCATTTATGGTACGTTGAATATGTAAAAATATGTAAGCGGATAGTTGTAGCGTTAAAATATCGTTCCGCTTTAAAAACCGGATCGATTCGTTTCGATCGTGTGCGCCGCGAATGTCTATGGAAGATTGCGAGAAAAGCGGCGCGTTACGAAACACGATTCGGGCATTAAATCGCGCGAAGAGAGCTATTAACAGGAGCTCGCACTCGTTCAATGAGAGCTAAGATTAGAGTGCGGCCAGTGGTTTAGCTTCGTTTAGTTCCGTTTGGCAACGTTTCTACTTACCAACACCGCGAGAAAGATATACACTCCACTTAGCCAATATTCATACGTTATATTTATCGATTATCTTCCTAAATAGGAAACGTTTTTTTCTTTCGACGATCATCCTCGAAATTCAAACTCGATATGCATTTAAATTTTAAAATAATAATTTTTAATCTTAAAGTAAAGCGTTATCATTATGTACAACCGGAATTATTATATGCTCGATTTATTTTTCACCACTCTGCCGATATTACAGCAATGTGAACGTTGCTTACGATCTATGGAACACATGAATATAGCTAGAGATGCGAACAGTTATTTCATTCAGTCGATGTTTATTTATAGAGTGTCACCGGAAGCATGATATTCCGCGTTTGTAACGATGTAATAGAGCGCTTGCAGAGTTTCTTTACACAATTCAAATTTTTCTAATTCGAATCTTTTTTTTTTTTTAATTTTCGAAAAAACCTTTCTCGCTTCTTCTCCCTTTTCAGTGAAAAATTTTTAAAATTTACTTTTAGAATTATTTACTTTAGAATAGAATTATTTAAATATTAA